TTTCTATCTTAAAATATTTTTAGGTATACATTCTATTGACAGTGAATCCAGATTTGAATGGTACACGGTACGTGTACTGTTTACAAAATCATCCCCAATTACTGACAGGTCTTATAAAAGTACTAGATAAACAAGTAGATACGTATGTACCTAAAACAAAATCCATAAGAATACTGTTCATAAGAGTAACAAAGATCAAATTGAATAGATTTCCGGCACGACTGTAGCACGTAGTGACCATGAGCTGCCGTCGTCTAACGAGGGTTCGGAGACGAATTTTTGGGCTCTCGAATCGACGACGTGCTATTTGTCGTTGTTCGGAAAATGCTCCACTAAATAGAATAAAAATGGCGATTTAACAATGGAGATAAAAGACGTTATTGATGCAAAATTTACAACCGATTCTGATTTATGTGTTTGGCACTGACTATTGGCCTACTTTTCATTGATTTCGTATGTGTTTATATTTATGTATTTTATGAATTATATCACGCTACTAGAGAACTGGTGATATACAATAAACATATATGTATAACAAAGAATTTGTATTGAGAACCTAATTGAAAGAGAACCTACATATATGGTCTTGCTCGTTCTTCTTTTTCTCCATATGAATGTATCAATATACCTACTTTGGAACGAGCAATAACCTTCACTAGAAGATTAATCGACAGCCTAACACTTAATTTTTTGTTTGACGTTCAAAAGTACCTTCTTGGTCTCATTGAAATGATTTTGACTTTGACTTTAATACATCCATACTCAGAGTAATCTTTAATTGTATGTTGACAGCAGATTAACTGTCATCGCCGCTCCGATCTCCAACCTGCCTGCCGAAGCATGAAGATTATGACAACCATGTAGAAAGGCCTATATAACTTCTCCGATGAGATAAGAAGCAGTGGTTGCTACCCAGTCCGTCTGGTCCAAAACGAAACGTCATAACATAACACTAATTTTACATCGAAAAACTTATCTTACAGCTATTGTAAGTATTACAATATAATAGACTTATTAAAAATTTTAAGCAAGTAAAAAGAATCATACAACTCAACAATCACTTTACGAATAATTTCATAATAACAAACTTAATTCACTCTTAACCAAACAAGAATTGAATTCACTCACTCATTCACGCTCGAGATCATTCTACCAACATAACAGTCAAAAGCAAAAAGAGATCTGACAAAAGTAACGAAACATTTGTAGGATAAGGGCGATAGTATTATCCAATTTCACGTAAGCCTACATCAAGTAACGTGGAAATAAAAAGTATATTGGGTAGATAAACAGAGCCCAAGTAAGTGGGAAAGTACCTATATATTATTTCTTTCTTACATCTTATGGCACGTGCCCTATAGCTGAACACAGAACTTTTGATTTAAACATAAAGTTTGTCTATTCATTGTGCCAGGCTATAATTCAGTGTTACAAGTATTCCTCGAAGTATTGCGCGATTCGCTCCGGTATTTGTTTATCTGTGGTATACTAAATGGTTTTATACTTAGGTATGCTAAATCTTAGCGCTTAAAATTAAGATAAGTACTAAATACGCCGCCTGTGACTTGGTTTGAATAGTTGATGCCGAATTTACTTTACGAAAAGTTTCGTGTATGATTTCGTGACACTACTTTCGGTGCCTGTTTTAGTTGAAACTGGGTAAAATACTATGCTGTATGTATAATCCCTGTTTCCTTGGCTATAGGTACACACGCTGTCGACCAAGTTGTTGCAAAATAAATGTTAGTACAATTTTTATTTCAAAAGCTAGCAACAGAACATGTAATTAAAATAGCAACGTTGCAGCGGTAGTACTTAGTGAAGTGAGGTAAAAACGCAACTTTTTCAAAAGTAGGAATGTCGTCAGGTAAGTAAAAGACGTTCCGTGTACCTGTACTTGTAATCGGTACGGAAATCTCGCATTTTTTTAATATTTAAGTGAGAAAAGCTATTATACCATTTTGTAGAAAATGCTCGCACTTTTACTGTATAAAGCGCCCGTTACGGCAAACAAAGTACCTAGGTACTTTCACCCGAGTGTAATTCCACGGTTACTAACACTTTTCACTAAGTACTATTTTACAATCTGTAATATTTTTCAATGGCACATTCAACGCTACGTATCCGAAAGCTACTTTTTTTTTAATAAACTCTAAGAGGATGTAATCTCGATTTAAATCAAAGCGAATTAAAATGTTATGGTAAACAAATCTGAAATTGTTTACTAAAACGGTAAAATCAGATACTATTGCTATGCTATTTTGTATAACAATAAAATTACATTAGATGTATTTGACAAGGCTTTCATTCCTTTTTTTATATATTTATTACTCTATTATTACAATATTAATTAATGACTTCCCATATTTGCTTACCTAATTAAATTAACTTGTCTCGACTCACCATGTACACAGTATGTGAGTTTATAAAATCTTCCCACACTATTTAGACGAGCACCTAAGTAAATAGGATTTAGATTAGAAGTTTGTGGATTTACTTTCATATGAACCTTTGTAGGTACTCGATGTGGGCGTTTAAAAAACAAATATTTACTTAACCTTTTTCAAATTACTAGGTACCTATAGTACATGATAATGTTATCTAACAGTAAATTTTTGCAACTTACAGCGCCATCTAGAACCCCATGCTTGGACTACAATAGTGGCAAGAATACTTCGGTAACAGAGGGCGAGTTCATTTTTCCGAGACCAAGAAAATGAAAAATTGGAGCAGCGCCACTAGCGTAAAGCAATTTTATGAGTTAGTAAATAAAATAACTGAATATTATGCTACTCCTTTAAACATATAGTCATGTCTATATATTGAATATTAACTATATTCGGTTTTTGATCTTAGTTTCTCTACATTTTTTATTCACGTTGAGTATTATTATGTATCTACAAATTCGAAAAATTCTCACTTAAATGTTGTCTTGTTGTGTAAATTATGTTGAAGAAAGTGAAATATAACCGTAATTTTTGTGTAGTTTTCAACCTGGTTGTGTATTAGGTTCTAGTTGTACCTCTAGAAGCTAAGGACTAAAGTAAAAATTAAGATTAGATAACGATATAATGTTTTACATAAGACTACTTACTTTAAGACTTTTGTTAAGATCGCTATCACACTACATCTCATTAAAAAAAAAAGGTCTTCCTACTTAGGTACCTACTAGGACAAAATCAGTGCTACAGTATACAATGTATTTACGGTGTGGTCGAAGATTAGTTACTAAGTTCCTAATGTTAAAAACTTAAGTACCTACTGGGTATTAGCCAAAATATGTGTAATAATTAATTTGTGATGTATTTTATTCAAGGCTCATGTCACTCCCTCTTTCGTAAATTAATTAACAAATACGTATCTTAGCCAAAAATCAAACGTCTATATTGTAATATGGTCATAGAATAACTTATTAAACTATTAAAATCCTACAGCAGTCTTGGTTGGTACTGGACTCGACTCCCCTCCAAATAATCTACATGTAGGTAATTATACAGAGTAGGTATGAAACTGGGATAATGACTATGATTGATAGGGCGGTGTAGCAGTATACTTGCGTGTGACGTCATAACTAATTAATTGCTATTAATGAGATGGATGCAGATTAGATCCGGCGTCAGCTAATCGGTCGTTTTGTTGTTCTTAAACATTTGGCAGTTATGTACAATGTATGTTGATTAGCCGAATTGATTATTCTGTTAATTACTTGATTGTATGCATGAAATGTTGGTAGTTGCACAGATTTTCATGTGTGATTGAATTAATGTTTCACTGTAGTGAGCTAGGTGTGGGTAGTGTAGACCAGGGGCTTACTCTTGAATCCAATTCCGATCGATCGACATTGATATTGAAAAATTTCGTACTTTTGAGTTGCAACACTAGCACCCATTGCATCCGTATTGCTTGGATATTGAATGAAGTAAATGGTATTGAGTTCGGCTTTATATTCCGTACTCTGAATGCTATTTAATAGCCACGATAGGGGTTGTATAGTTTTGACATTGTATAATTATTGAGACTATTGGATTGAAATTGCATTGACATTATGATTGGTTTCAAGAGTAAGCACCCAGGGGTAGCCAACATGATTAGACATAAGATCTTTTACTAAGAAATCCTGTTCGATCTACTACTCATACATATATACTTCTTGAAATCTATAAAACAATTTAGTGTTTAGTACATAAATATACATATAAAATATGACACAAGGTGATGCTGTAGTAGTTGGAAATTACGTTGTGCGGTCTGGTATTTACACTTTTTTGCCTTTGCCACGATCGAATGGACTAATGATCGCGATCGACCGGTTAGCGACCCCTGGTGTAGACTTTTTGCCTTGTGGGAGAGTCGCAAGCAGTCACAAGGCTTTTTAAAAAAAACGAGCTTCGCTGATACGAGTTTATTCCCATCTGTATTAATCTACGGTACACCACTATGTCTGTAAAAGATATTATTTGTAAAAAAATGTGTATTTTCGATTATGTGTGGGCGTCGCGCGTCGACAGGTAGGTGCGATGGGTGCACATAAGGAAAATTATAAAATAATTACATTTTTTTTACATTTTTACATATAAGTAATAAACACAGACTTTTTGAAAATCATCCTATTTTTAAGATACACAAGTTTTAAGAAAGGAAGGTATTATAATTTGACCATAGACACTCATTCTAAATGGTAAGTGTACAAAATGGTAAGTGTACCCATTACTAAATGGGTGAACTTATAAAATATCAAACTTATGCTGAAAAAGGCGGACTAAGAAGTTTGTATGAAAAACCAGCAGTATCTCATCGTTTAATTATACAATCATGCAATATCTCAAAATTTATATCCATTCATTTATACACATAGTTTGAAATATGCAGGTGCTTATTTTAGAAGCTAGGTAGCTTCGCTGGCCAATAGGCAAGCCAATGTAGTTGTAACAAGACTTATTTAAAACAGTTAGTAAGGTAATATTATTAGCAGGTAAAGAATACGCAATGAAAACACGGAATTGTAGATTTTGGTTGTTTATTTCTCAGGAAGCAAATGATTCACAGCATTGGTGGGATACAGAGGTCTGACAATACCGGGCCGAAACATTCAATTTCCTGAAATTTAATTTTACTAGCAATAGGTACAACAGCTTAGAATATATAAGTACCCAAATATAAAAACGTGGGAAAACAACATTACATAGCTGTAGAATAGTATCATTTATTTAGTAAAGCGAGTTTTTTTTATATTTTTTTATAAACTACACACCTTACTAAATCACAATTTCTAATTATGTCAAAAATTATGTATCACATTTATAACATTCTGTACAAAGTAAAAAAATATTTTCATACTCCACTAGACAAAGTAAAGCTGCATAGACATTTCGACCATTATAATAATATTGTTGCCTATGTAGAAAACAAACTTTTAGTTTACAAATTTACCGATTTCATTGAAAATGTACTTTGTTGAAACCAATTGAGCAGACACAAACAGTAAGACAATCCACTTGAATATCACACTCAATTGAACCTTATAACATGATATGCAGTAGTAATGCTTTTATCTTATTGCATCAACAGTACCACATCGGGGCTAGGCTACAGGCAAACTTACAAAGTTACAAATATTAAGTTACTCTTTCTATGTTTAATCTATACTTCAACTTGTTTTAAATATCATAATAAAATTGTTAAGATATAAATAACACAAAAGTTACGTTATGTGGACTTACAACCTTCATAAGGAGCGACATATCATGTATCTTACAAAATAATAGTCCCTTACGGTTCTGTTAACAGTTACACTATAAATAAATCACTTACGACACACAAATATATTCTCTTCTATCATTAAATTGTCGGTGCGTTGAAGGCACAAAGCTCTACAAACATAGTCAGTGTATACATACAAGAGAATACAATCGTCCAAGTGATGAACAACGTCAACAATCGTCTGCAAGCTGCATGTATCAGGCCACAGCCACAGCTCCCAGCACCCACCCATGCGTCACTCATCTGACTCGATTAAAAAAACATTACTTTTAGAATTATGCAAAAACAATTATACAACCCTTCCAATTTGAACTTTTTTCAAAAACTGGGACTCTCAAATGCAAATTGTGATTTGTGACAGTGATCATAGAGAAACAATCGAATATACTCTATAGGGACACTCAAATTATTACAACGTAATTTACAAATATAGTCAATCTCTAAATATTAACTAATTTATATAAACTGAATTATTTACAAAATATGAACACATCGGATGCGACGTGCCATCTCTCTTACATATTTGTAACTATTTACAATGACTATTATTATAAAACATTAATTAAGAGCATTGCATTTTCGTGAGCTTGATCAAAATAATCCCTTGTTCAACTCATATGTATAAAATGGTACACTACTAGGTACATTCACATGAATATGTGGCCAGTCGCAGTACTCAGCTCCTCCACCATAGACAAACAGTCCCGATCATAAAGTGGCAGATGCTCGACTTGCAGTCAACATCGTTACTATTAGCTTTTACAAGTCGAATAATTAGCTAGTATTAGAGATCAGTCTTCGGACAAAGGAAACAAATTCAGTACTTTAGTATATAAATCTTCACAATTCGACTTTCAACTGTATATTAAATATTTTAGAAGTTAACATCATATTTACAAATTCTGATGATTTGGACAATAACATTGTGTTACATAAAAAGTTGTAGAAGAAATAGTCAAGGCAGAGCTAAGAATTTTAGGGAACTCCATAACCCATCAACTTGTATGACATGCAGTTGGCAGCACTATTAACATTGAAGATAGATTTGGTTTATCCTAAATATTATTCACACTTGCTTTTGATTATATTATTAACAATTAAAACAAACACTAGAATATTTCTATCATTATGTTAATACACTATCTTATAAACCATGTCGCCTAATGAAATCTCTTAACTAATCGACTTAATTCAAATTTTCAACTCATACCAATTTCAATTTGTACTAATGTAGATGTACTAACTTGTCATGTGCATTAATTGTATAACATAAACAGTTATATGTAGTAAATCTTTCACTTAAAATACATATTTATGTTTGATAACAATTCCAAAAACAACCTTTTTAATTATGTGGCAAGAAGTATTTAGTTTTGAAATTCATTTGTGATGATTTCATACCTACCTACAGCTATATTCTCATCGTATAGATGTCGCGTGAAACTGGTTTAGAAAAACTATAAATAAGTATTGATGGGACTTAATTCACTGTATCATGCTACGACTTAAATTAATTTTAAAACTCCGTACTGACTAAACATGAAAATTATATTATACACCAATTTATGGCACTCATTTTTAATGACATGTTAACTATTTGTAAGATAATAAAATTGATCAAATTATGTGTTTGTACCAATTCTTTTTATCAACTTTTTACTTTATCATACAAAATCTTAATTTTAAATTCTTTGAAGCTGCCAATTAAATAAAACTATTATTACTGGTGCTGCTGTTATAATTGGAATTCCCTGAAAATTCTATACAAGAACTGTTTGCTTCGTGTTTGTTTATAAATAATTGCACTTTCAATTTGGGATTGTTTAACAGTTTCTGATGGTTGATCTGTAAGATTTGTTACTTCGTCGTATTTTCTTTAGGAAACCATTTTGCTTTACAATCAGCAGTCTCTGCTCCGTTACCGCATTAGAACGACTAGAATTTAGGAAAAAAAGTTAATTACAACAGACAATGCAAAACTAAATGTATGCAAATATGTTCATAGATACTTTTTCCCAGTCAAGTTTATGAAATCGTCATCCAGCAATTTTGCCTATAATAACTCATTTGCTTGTTGCATAGTTTTTTAATAATACAAAAAAAAAATACAAATCAACACAGAAAAATAATAACTTCTACATTTTAAAACACTCAATTTAACATTTTGCGTTTTTAAATATTACATGTATAAACCCACATTGCATTTAACCAAATAAATATTAATAGCAAACTCTAGTTAGAGGCTGCCTTATCCTTTAACTTTTTATCTGACTGTAGGAAGCATATCGTTTTTGTTATAAATTGTGTACTGCTTCACAAAACATGATTTTTATATTTAAAAACTGACTTGTTTTATGTGTAATAGTTGTGTAATGAAATCATGGAAATTTTCAGTCAGACTTATACAAGCCATCTGTGTATGTTCATGATACTTTTAATACCAGACGTTCTGTAAGGAAATTCAATAATTGGAATGTCATCAAATTCTAAATACATCGAAAGTGCAATTACTCTTAAACATTACAGATAAAAGTTCATCACCCTAATAAATTAGTCCGATAAGCGCTCGTAATATTAACATCATAGATCTACCTAATATCTCATACTATGTCAAAAGAAATCCTTCGGGTTTCACGTTCCAAGGGTTCATATCACGCCGGGTACCGATAGCAGCCGCACGGGCCGACCGGGTCGATATTTACAATTTTTGACCTCACACTTTGGTACTAATCTGGACAGATCACACAAGGACGTCGCGAAGAGTTCCCTTCGGCTCGGCGGCGCCCCTACTTGTCGCTCGGCTCGGGCGGCGCGCCGCCAAAGTCCAACTGGTAGCCGCCCGCGCGCGTCATCTCCTCCATACTGGGCTCCTTGCACTCGTGGCCCGCGTGTCCCGCCGCGCCGCAGTTCCAGCACGACAGCTTCGGCGGCGCGTACAGCACCGACACGAAGCCGGCGTACGGCGCCGCCGCCGGGTATGGAGGCGGCTCCCCGTTGGCGAACGGTGGCGGCGGCTGGCGGTATGTGGGCGGCGGCGTCGGGTACCCGAAGGGCCGCGGGTACTGAAGGAACGGAATTGGAGGCGGCGCAGACGGCGTGGCGCGGCGCTGCGGCGGCGCCGGTGTGTCGGGCGGAGACGACGCGGCGCTCGACCCGCTGTCGGACGACGAGCGTGTCGCCGCGCAGTACGGACCGGTCAGTCGTCGCACGCCGTTTAGCTTCTCCAATGATCTATATTGCTGCTGATGTACCACCAGTTCTCTTAATCGTTCGTCACCAATGTTATGACGCATCTGGGAATAAATATAAATATTTAGTTTAGTTTTTTTTATTATTCTTTATAATGTTTAAGTTTTTAACAAGTGATTATTATTAAACGACACTAAAATGAATGTAATATCTCATTGCTGTTAGTAGTTTTTAATATCTGTACATATGTATATGTATTATAGCCATATTATTAGTGGAACAGAAGAACAACAAAGTTGAGATAAATCTTGATGAAAAAAAAATCACTGTGCGGCTAGACTCGCCTCATTCGAAAACCGCGTTAATGCAGAAGGCTGTCTGTGGCGAAGAAGTCCTGCTGCAAACACGGTGAATGGACCGCGATGCTGCGGAGAGTGACCCACCTCGGCGACAGACATGTTTTCAAAGTTGGCGGCAAGTTGGTGCGGCAGTGGAGGCTGGTCGGGTGGTCCGACTGGCGGGGGAGGCGGCGAGCGGTCCCTCGACAGTCGGCGGCGCGAGCGAGGCGACGCGGCGCGACTGTCGCCCGGCGACGACACTAGGGGCGACGTCGGCGCACCACTAGCAGCCGTGTAATTTATTACCTGCAAATAATTCAAGTGATGTAACATACTTACATAACAAAACGAAATACAATCCAAATACAGCGGGCTATAAACATTTTTATCCACACTTGACGTGACAACATGTCGCATACAAGCAAATAAACGTCATACCCAATTTATGCAATAATACATCACTTCACAATGCAACAATAGCGGTTAAGTGGTTATTATTGCCCAATTTAACAGAGCTTATTTACTTGAAATTGCAACTGTTAACCACTTATGCAGTGTTAAAGAGACTTCACTGTGTGAGCCAAATATTATACCTACTCCAGATAATTTAGTTACAAATTGTATTTATATTTTCTTTTTTAATACTAATATTTTGTGAGTTATCAACTGATTTACACTATCAAACACCACAACATTTCACTAATTTGAAACATTTTTGATGTTATTTCAGCTATATCCCTTACCTCCTAGTTTAAGTGGAGATATGTACTGCGGATACTTAGCTCTGGTAGATAGCATTATGGATCAAAAGAATAACCAGACTTGAATATATTGTGGGTTCGAAAGCTAGCTTTTCTCATGGACGACCATGCTGATGCTGCTATAAGCATTACTACATTACTACATTAATAACCATATGCAACTTAAGTGACAATTTGCTGGTCCACTGCATCAAACATTTGATAGTACTTAGGTTAGTACAAATATAGCTAGTTGCTGGAAAATATAGACCCAATATTAGTAAAATGTTAACAAATCACAATCATTTTAAGAGTTTCATGTAAACAGGTGTCACAAGAACATTTACAAATTTTACTGTATTAAAACATGTTTGTTGTCCTATTATCTAAATTGACATTGACATAATTTGTGCAAATATTTAATGAGGCCCTGAAAATGATTGTGCTTGGTTGATAAAGGCTGAGAATATTTAACTTTTCTCTTAAAATTTATTGTATGGTGTGCACTTACCTCAAGTGGTTGATTAATAGGTGACACTATGATATTTGCAGGCCATGCATTGTGTCCTATGTAGTCTCCCATATTGTATTGTGGCATCGGTAGACCAGGAGGTGGGTGAGGTACTTCACCCAACATTTGCACTACTCCCCCAGCTCCTGTCAGAACTGGTGGAGAGCTGAGTTCAGGCACTGTGTCTGTACTAGGCGGCTGGAACATTACACACTTTATATAAACTTACTTATAATCTCAATGTCATCATGCACATCTATTTTATTATTTTTTTCGTCACAATACTTGTAAACATTCTGTTTGTCCATGCAACATGTTGATATGAAAACATAACCTATAAAGTTGTGTTGACATTAAATGATGTATGATAATGGATACACGAACCAGTTACAATTTTACTCACAAATACCATGACACCTAGTGAAATGATCGTAGTTTATTTACAATGCAATGTTTTAATGAGGATGTATTGAAAATTGGATGATTGTTTGGCGAAGAAGATGGGTCTTACATTAAAAAGAGGTTGAATAATGCCAACACTGATTTTGTAACATTTTCAGATTGGATTACTTTATATTTTTCCCTACAGATATAAATAGTGAGTATTTGATAAATGATCATGTGATGTCACAGGAAGTTAGAAACAATTACACATCTTTAAAAGGAATAATTTGATATTAGCGATTCAAATCCGATTACTATACATGTAATGTATAGAAGAAAGGAATAAATATACTTGAAAATCATTTCAGAAACTTATTCATAGTTTCTTAGGAAATTTTTAGATTAAAATTCAGGGTATGCTATAATATTTTCATTATACCCACCAACTAGACAACTACCTTTAGCCATGAGCTTTCATTAAATACCAAAGTTGAACATAATTTCATTAGTTATCATACTTATTTTTATTCAATCTACAACCTTGACTATAAGAATATTTCTTATTTATATATTTACATAAATCAAAACTACATAAAACATCTAACTTATAAATTAAGAATGAGGTTGCAATAAAATGATGTGTGACCCATATAACAGATGTGAAGAGCAATACAATGGTAATGTAAGGTAATGACAACACTGACCTGCACCCCAGGTGTTTTGACAAACACAATACCAGGCGGTGGCCCCAAGCTAGACAAGTTAGGTGGTGGGATTGTCATGTTGCCCGTGATATTAGATTGTGTATGGCATGCACTCACTGGTACTACGTTTATATGATCTTGTGGCTCTGGAAATTGTATCCTCTGGTCTTCCATTTTTAATTTCTCTAGTATTTCACCAAAATGCGATTTTTGATCAAATGTAAACGCCGGATGATGTAACGCCATTGTGTACAGAAGTAAAATTTCTTCGAGGAGATCACCGTACAAGCCTTTCAACAACCCACTCTGCTCCAAACTGACCATGGCATTGTACAATGTGGTAGCACACGCGAAATTACACGAACGTAGCAACGACACGTACAAGGCCATTTTCCGCCGCGTCCTGGGGTCTGTGTTGGCGCCTCCAATGTCCGCAGCCAGGTCTGTGGGGTTGTTGGCTCTCAGTTCAGCACCACGCAACTCCTGAAAGTCCCGCTTACCCAGCTCCTCTAGGTATGTGCCAATGAAACGTAGTTCAAATGGCAAACACATATTTAATAACGTACACATCGCGTCTATGCGTTTATAGCTTTCCAATTCTTTAAACCATGATACCACGTCCTCTTTGCAAACCATTTCCAGAACACATTGAAATTTTATGTAAAGAATCAACCGGTCCCCTGCAGCCGAAGCGCGTCCGTTGCTTATAATTTTTGGCACACGCAATTACCGTAACAATGTGATGGTTGTAATCCCAGAATTTCCGATTGTAACATTAGTAATTATAAGCTTTTTATCCGTATTTTACAAGTACAGTATATTGGTTAAGCAACTACAGGCAATGCTAGTAGTTTTGTCTCGTCTATAGTCTATGAAATAGAGAACCCAAAGACAAAAGCATGCTTATAGACAAAGGTGCTACGTACAGAAGATACAGTTAGATATTTGAAAATTATGCTGTCTAATTATAAACTTAAGGTTGAAAATTGAACACCTTACAAGCTTTCTCTCTAATATGACAGTTGCCTTTCCTGTCTATGGAAGTTATTTCTGTATTCAACTCGGAAATGCTTTTTCTTGAAATAAAAACTGATAAGAAATTCTTGTAACTTAGTTAATTTAATTCTATTATCTTCTACATTATCAGTTCAATTTTCAAGCTTAGTATTATAAAATATATGGACCCAAGCCCCGGTATTTTTAAAGCTGCGACTAGACATCCGCTAATTTTCAAGCTTGGTTTTATTATGGACCCGAGTCCGGGTATTTCATAAAGCTGCGACCAGACATTCGGATACGAGAAGAGCTACTGGGCAACCAACCAGGGTTGGGTAAAAGCATCCTTTATATTATAGACTAGTGATCTAACTACGATTCCGAAGTAAAAGTAATAATACAATATTATTGTTGGTAGCTTCATCATGGTACGCTTTAATCTATCTATAGAAATAAAAATTAATTTCCTTTCGTTACAACTCGAGAAAGGCTGAACCGAATTGGCTAATTTTGGTCTTGAAATATTTGTGTAAGTCCAGGGAAGGTTTAAAAGGTGAGAAATAATTTTAGGCGGTACGAAGTTTAACGGGTCAGCAAGTTAATAATAAATACCTACCACGATTGATTCAGTCAACCCTAAATATCCTATTTTTGTAAGATATCCGAACATAATTTTCCTCGTAAATATGTTCCAGAGACAAGCAATCTTTTTGTAATGAAGTTTGACATGAACTTATTGAAAATAGAGACGTAAGATATGTATTTCATGTGTAAGAAAGAAAAACAGACAGAGAATTTGTTCAAAGTTATATAGATAGAGAGATTCGAAAACGTATTCGTGAAACGTTTTGTAGTTACTCGGCATTTTTTGACAAAAGGATCGAAAAATATTTTAGTCACTATTTTAGCTAAGATTGTTGGTGTAAATTTAAAAAAATATTAAAGAAATTTTGCAATGGCTCCCGCTGAAGATGTAGAAATGAAAAATGTTGAAAGTCCTGCAGCAGCGAGTGATGCAGAAACCCCGGAGGTGAAGAAAGATGCTGATGTGCTTGCAGTTCAAGATTTGAGGGAACATGTAAGACAAATAGATAAAGCTGTTGCTTCCAAGGAGCCACGATTTGCTATGCGAGTTTTGAGGTCGCTTCCTAGCACCAGAAGGAAGCTGAACGGCAACGTTTTACGTGCTATTTTCAACCAACTTTATCCATCTAATGCTGACAAAGAAAGTTTAATTGCATTTGTGGAAAGCCCTCTGCCTGGTGCAGTGGAGATAGAACCACCCCGCTCTCGCAGCGCACCCAAGCAACCTGTGCCCGAAGTGGATGTTTACTTGCATCTGTTGGTACTGCTGCGCCTGCTCGACACTAACAGGTTGGAAGAAGCTACTGAGTGCTCACAGCAGTTGATGAATAAAGTTCTGGCACAAAATAGAAGAACCCTTGATTTGATTGCTGCTAAGTGCTACTTTTACCATTCAAGAGTCTTTGAATTGACAAACAAGCTGGATCTTATTAGAGGACTACTTCATGCAAGACTCCGCACTTCTACCCTGCGAAATGATTATGAAGGCCAAGCAGTGCTCATCAATTGCCTCTTGCGTAACTATTTGCATTACTCTTTGTATGATCAGGCAGATAAACTGGTCAGTAAGTCAGTTTTCCCAGAAAATGCAAGTAATAATGAATGGGCAAGATTCTTGTATTACCTTGGAAGGATTAAGGCTGCCCGTCTAGAGTACAGTGATGCTCATAAACATCTAGTGCAAGCTTTGAGGAAGGCTCCACAAACCGCTGCTGTTGGTTTCCGTCAAACTGTCCAGAAGTTGGCAATTGTTGTTGAGTTACTATTAGGAGATATTCCTGAAAGAGCCATATTTAGACAAGCACCTCTACGAAAAGCTTTGGCACCTTATTTCCAGCTTACTCAGGCAGTGAGACTTGGCAACTTGCAGAGATTTGGTGAAGTGCTTGAGAATTTTGGCCCCCAGTTCCGTAATGATCACACTTTCACACTGATTCTTCGTCTCCGCCAGAATGTAATTAAAACTGCTATCCGCTCGATTGGACTCTCATATTCCCGTATATCACCTAAGGATATTGCCAGGAAATTGGGTCTGGACTCTGCTGAAGATGCAGAGTTTATTGTGGCTAAAGCTATCAGGGATGGAGTTATTGAGGCTACCCTTGATCCTGAAAAGGGATACATGAGTAATAAGGAGAGCTCTGACATCTATTGCACGAGGGAGCCACAATTGGCATTCCACCAGCGTATTTCATTCTGTCTGGACTTGCATAACCAGAGTGTCAAGGCTATGAGATACCCACCAAAATCTTATGGCAAGGAATTGGAGAGTGCTGAAGAAAGACGTGAGAGAGAGCAACAGGATTTGGAACTGGCCAAGGAAATGGCTGAGGAAGATGATGATGGTTTCCCTTAAATCTCCTTTAATAATAAAGTTAAATTAATAACTGATTCATTAGATATATAATTTGTGCATTAACCATAATGTAATAAAATATAACTAAATGTTTTTGATTATTCTTTTTATTTGACTTATCCAATTTTAATTTATTTTTACGCTTACCAATTTTGTTCATGTGAGATCACTTAGAAATATAATAATAATTGTTCTTTTACTTTCAATTTTCGTGGTTTTTATGCTTGGATGCACCAATATGAGACACAATAGAAAATTGTCTTGCGTATAAGAGGTTAAATATTAATATTATTCGATAATTATTTTTTTGCCAGGTTTAATGATCAATTCCAATGTTTTTTTACAAATGAAACATTTAGAATTGAAGCCTGTGCCGTCCTGTGATGGTAGACCGGGTGCACGCATTTGCAACGTATTGCAGGTTCGATTCCGCACGGCACCTCAAGTTAAATCTGCCATCTGGCGTACAAAAACATCAAAATAGGTACCTTCCTAGTGACCTCACACTATATTCAAAACAATTTTTTAGTATCTTAGCAACCACATTGATTACATGGGCTGGATAGTTCACATTTGCAAATAACTTGGATTTATTGAAAGTAATACAATTTACATAAAATAAGCTATCAAAATGGAGTTCACCATGGAACATATGGAGAAGCTCGTGGATCTGTTGAGACCACCTGAACCTGACGTGCTGCAAGGAGACGATTTACCTCCGACTGGTTTGTACCTTCACGTTTAAGTTTGCAGTGTAGGTGGGCGATAAAGACAAACAGCACGTAGATAGTTTTATGAGATAGGAGCTTATGCCAACCTATCCAGACTTCGATTATTTGAGTAGGATTCCTATTTCGTTTAAGTCCACCTAGGATTTTAAGTCAATCTTGCATTCATAGAGCTAGTGCATCATACGGGTTGTTGGCCGCAGATTCTACTGCAGTCATCGCCATCTATCGGCATTAGTCGGCGTCTACCGTGTACAGGTAACTCTGTCAAAACAAAAAAAAAATGTCATATTTATTTTCAGACGTAAAAAAGTAAATAAGTACTTGCCTTACATTATGTAGGTACTTATTTTAGTACTTTGAAGACTAGGTCCTTCCGTTTATCATATAATATTTTTTCAGAGTTTGAAATAAGTTCAACGAGAGGTAAAGTTCCTCCTCCCGAAGAAAAGAAGGCTCCAAAAACTATTGAAGAGTTTGAAGAACAAGAGGCTAAGGAGATCGAAAGCTTGGGGAAAGCTGGTGTTGGTTTAGGAGATCTAAAAACTCCTGAATATACCATGAACTATCAGCAGTCCGTCTCCGCTGAAGATGTGTATCTGCAGGTAACTATTTTACTTGCTAGATTGAGAATAGTGATAGCTATGAGAAAGAAGAGGCACGTACCTCTTCCCTCCTTCCTACCTAGGTGTAAGGTGTCACAATAAAATAGTCAACGACCTACTTATATCAGTTTTTATTATTAGGTAAATAGGTAGTAGTCAATTTTGATATCTACATTCCACTAAAAACAAAAGTATAGTAGGTAGGTATCAGTGTTATACTACTCTGTCAAGAAAGTACCGGGAAAAGAACAATAATACATAAAATGTCTGTTATTCAACCAAATTTATTTTATCACCTTCAAAGTATGCTCCTTTAGAAACGGTACTATATTTAAATAATCATCTAAACACCGACACTTGGGATGCTCAGTATTACACTCGCCAGCGTAATAGTCCTAAGAAGAACTAAGTCTATCTTGACATCTTTTCACGTTTCAGATTGGCCCAAAGACCCCATCATCAGCAAGTTGCGAGAATCTGATAGTTCGCATCAAGATGCCGGGAGATAAGAAAGAAAACGTGGATTTAACTGTAGACACCAACAGCGTCGCAGTGGTTTCTTCCCAGTATTCACTAAAACTTCCTTTGCCACATGGCATTGATCCTGACCGGTCTAAGGCAAGTTGGGAGTCCGACCAGGAAACATTGGTGCTTACCCTGAAGCTGGACCGAGAATTTGATTTTGTTAATTTTTAAAATAAAAACAATGTAGGTAATGTAACATTAACTTGTCTATTTTTTTATTCCCTAAATAGGTATCTATTATCTGCTTATAGTACCTAAGCATCTAGATAACTGGTGAGGTACCTGTGCAAAATTACTACTAAAAAATACAAAAATAGTTTGCCCTACCCGGGAATCGAAACCGAGACCCCTTGCCGGCAGTCACACTTTCGACCACTCGGCTAACGAGGCAGTCAGACGAAATAGGTACCTGAATTATAAATGAAATAGGTATGAAGCACCTCAATACATAATTCGAATCGTAGATCATAATTAAACTGCGCTTGAAGGCAAGTCATTTTAACAAGTGTCCTCATCAATTAATATTAAATGTGATGTGTTTGAAATGAAATCGGCATTCAAAAGATTTGAATCACAATGTGTTTGATAGCCTACGTTGAATGAAGTGACCTAGATATTTAAATGTGTACCTAGTATTTAATTGAAATAATTTTCTTATCTTCGATGAACCTCAGTAGTCTTAGTGGGGTATGTTAGTGTTACAATATGAAACTATTATAATATGAAAAAAGGAAAGTTTGTTTGTTTACATACTCAAATAATTCTAAAATAACTTACTAAACTGTTATATTTTTTTTCACCATAAAATAAAAAATATTCCAAACAGCGCTCGACGCTAGAAGCCTATAGATAGGTACTTAACTGGTTACTTCTATAAAAAGGTTGGTATGTACATGTAGAAACAAGAAAAAAAACAAATAAATATGATTATCTTCAACCATTATGATAATAATACACCTAACTTCCACGTACACAGGTGTATTACAGTAGGTCACGACGATTACTAACCACATACATGATTCTGACACGAGATTAATTGGAAACCTTGACCTGTGGTCACTCAAATCAAATAGTTAAAATTTACTTAGACAGGTAGGTATAAGGTAACTAGGTACCTACATCTAATCTATGCTACCTACTTCCGACTGTAGATAATTCAGCAATTTGGAAAAATATTCATCAACACCCTACAACTGTAACTGTAATTAAGCAACTGCTTGTTATTACTTTTTTATTATTACCTATCGCAAAAAATAGTTTCAGGCTTATCTGGGTTGAGAGATCTCATACAAAAGGGGATTATGAAAATTTTGTTCATATTTAGGTCTAGATTTTTAAATATTACAAGATTTTAATGTGGAGTTGGACCAAACATTAGGTAGGTTTCGATACTTTAGAGTCTAGTAATGATTAATGCTGGATGTTTAATAAATGGGCCCATCCCATCACCCATGCCAAGGTCACCTCAAAGCTGTGATAAGCTGTCCCTCAATTGGGTACTTGCTAACTAGTCAAATTCAGTATTTTTTGAACTGTCAAAAACGACAGCTTTCTATGATTTTTTTTGTACGAGATTGTGTATTGTGACGTCACGTTTTTTAGCGTCAAACAGCATAACCATTTCTTAAAAATTTGCTGGAAAAATATAAGTATTTTCAATAATTAGTATAAATTAAGTATAAATAAAAATTATAAGTATAAATTAAGATTTAAGTTGGTTATAAAATCAATCAACGAAAGTGAACAGTACTAACTGTTTTTTAATATTTTATAAAACAGACGAAATTATTTATTTTTGATTAAGGAAAGTACCTACCTACCCTATTACAACCCAAACATATGACACGAGATATGCTCTCAAGGGATTATATTTGCTAATGAGGACACTAACTTTATTTATTGTTTCTCTCTTGTTAAGCGGGTACGAGAGCATCCTCTCGCATCTTCCGAGCTGCGTCTACGTCTATACCTTCAATTACCATCAAATATTTTTCTTTTCTAATAATTATATGCCCACAATTCTGTGATTCCAAAAAATCTCTTTCCCTTTAAAATAATTTTAAAACCTCAATAATGAAGCAGTTCAATAAGCAAGAGCTTCGCCGAGACTGCAGAGGGAACACTTGCACAGCATTAAAGCATTCACGAATTTCTAAAAGTAATTTACATCCACGCAGTGTATTTGATGTAAAGTATTTATTACAAATTGATATATGACGCATGACTTTTAATATTTCACATTATCGTTCATTATACCCGTTACATATTGAATTATATACAAATATTTACATGCGCATGATTCGTTTCGATTTCTACCACATTGCAACTCATGCTTCGTTAAATGTAATAACTAAAGTACCTACTAAGGATTTTCCTAACTAGTATGGTCTCCTTGATCCAACTGTGTTCACTGCACCTAACAAATACCTACCTAATATTTTTTAATTATCCTCAATTTTCATTTATTCAAATCTGTTCATCTTTATCAGTAATTTTCGAGTTTATTATTTTTGATTCATAATTGTTAAGCAAATTCACATATTTCTTGTCATAGAATCATAAAAAGTTGTGACAGGCCACTGCCATATTTTCACGAGCGGTTTGGAGATAACAGTTTGAAAAATCACCTAGGCAATTCTGTATCATTTCAAACTTTCGAAGTGAGCTCGATGGCATTCTCGCCCGTCATTGGTCGAGATTATTCTCACAACCAATGACATTTGAGACCGCAATCGGGTTCATTTCGATCTGTCTAATTGAAAGTTATGGAATAACCTAGCTGGTCTCAGATCAAAGAGCGACTGTTTCTATATTATTTCTATGGTTTTTATCGAATGTATAACATCACAGAAATATTATATTTATGTATGTAACATAATCCCTTTGTCGGTTCTAGTGACACCCACTGGAAAAGTGTAGACGCTACTCTGACTTCACCACACTGCTCCAGAATAAAACACTGCTCAAAAAACTACTAAATAAAATACGTCTAGTACCTACATTTTTAGATTCTTAACCAGCCTTTACTTAAAGTTATTATTAGATTTATATAATCTAAGGTTGTCCAAGCAAAGGTCAGGTTTCTGTTTATTCCTAACGGTAAAGGTACACACACAAATATAATACACATGGAGCGAAGTTAAATAATGATAATAATTTGTAAGGTCATCGATATTGCTTGAAAATTCACAACGTATTGTATTGTGAGTTCCGCACTTCCGTGCATCCAAGAATGGGATATATTTTATGAGAAGCATTTCATAAATCATATACAAATTGGTAATATATTAATAATATTATTGTAAAGTCGGTTATAGTTCCTTGAATAAACTGGAAAAATAAAGTTATAATTGAAGTGCGAAACATGTATCTATAATGTTGATGAAAGTGTGATCTGCATTCATGCTTACCCAATTTGTGATAGAGCAAAAAAGTTGTATAGATTGATGTTTAGTCCATAAGTACCTAGGTATATTTTTTTTATAACCTTTATGTGATCCTGACCATACTAGGCGATATTGTCACTAAGAGACAAAACCCTGCAAATATATATAAAAAAAATTGATAAAGTTACCTACCTACTTTTGAAATATCTAGCGGTGTGTTTGACTTTTACAGTTGATTGAATATTACTTATCTAATTTATTATATTACATCTAACTGTATCATTCGGACCTATTCATTCAAAATAAGTAGTCACAATACAGTTACCAACATAGGTAGGTACCTACTTTAATAAACCATACTTCACACTGAAAATGCATTCGTTAAAGCAATAAACTTTGATATGAAAGTAGACAAATGAAATTTATTAAATATGCATACGTTTTATATAGATTGGTAGGTACCTATATAGCTACGATCTTAACCGTAGGTAGTCCGTTTCCTCAATTACAAACCATTTTCAGGAACTGTTATTACTTACTGTATGTAATTACTGTTAAAACTTAATTACATCTAAATATTTAATCAAAAGAACACTGTTGAACACATTCTGCAATCGTGCATGCCTTGTCAATTGTTTTTTTTGTATTGAGTAGCTACGAAACATTTATCAAGGATCGTTTTGTAGTTGTTCGCGTGGTTCGTATGGACGAGAACTCTGTTGCTTATTTCAATTGAAGCGTTCGTGACGCGCGGCTGTGATTGGCGCGCATCTATTAAACCATCAAAATTCTTAAGACACCGCAATCAATAAACTCATTGGTCGTGAGGATGGTTTCTGTGATCTTTGTTATAACAACCGCTCTTTTGTGATCAACGGCTACAGTGTGATGTAGACGACGCTGAATTTAAGATATTTTCCTACTAATTGCTGTTTTTTATTTCCAAAATGTAAGTACTTGAATTAAGCCCTTCCGTTATTATGTAGGTACGTCTTTAATTAACGTAATAAAATACCTATATTTTTTTGTGGTGTTAAATTTTTAGTTCTGCTTCGTAATATTATTGTGCATGGATCAAAATAGAGCTAGATATACATACATATATGTGATCAGATTACTTATTCAGTTCACTTTGCAAATTATTATTCTATAATTCTTCAAAATATTAAACATTGTAGAGGTTATTGTGTGATATGCCGACTTACTTACTAATCATTTTGATCACCGCGCACGGTCATCACAATTAGTCGGCCGTGGTGTTCCACATTCGTAATAGCAAAATCGCTCACTCGACCTAATTTTAATAGGCAATTTATTGGACTGCAGCAGTTCATTGCCTAAAAATTGTACCAAATTACCAATAGCGATCAGTCCCGCCTCGATTAATTTTTTAATCATTTTTATTTTTTGAATAAAAGTAGTGTACCTACATACCTAAGTGAAACTTTCAGTAGAATCAAACATTCAGAAAATGGCTAACACTAATTAAATATTTTAATACGCCCGCTACTGTTGCACATTTTATATGGAAAAGTAGTTTTTACAGCATATCTAATTTTAGAAAAATATCGCAGTCATAATACTTAGTTAATTAGATAATAATGTCCTCCAATCGATCCAGTAACTTAAAATTGATCCAATAATTTCCGAGCCTAATCAATTCAAACAATCAAACTAAAATTAATCTTTCCTCTTTACAATATATGTAAGTAAATATAGAATTGTGGATGTAGACTATCAATTTGATTATTATTTTTATAAGCACAAGGTCCATGAAATCGACGATAAAATTGTTTTAGGAATGCAGAATACTGTTTATTAAATTGATACGATTGTTAGTAATCACCATAACTTATTTCTTTTATAGCATGTTCATACGGGGAGCCTTATTGGTTCAACTACTGTTGCTATTAAATATAATAGTTGAACTAGACACAGCTAAACCTTGGGGCAACAAACGTGAGTATTCTGTTCTTACCTTAAAAACTATATATCACCGAGACACCATGGCGACGTAACCAGAATCCGCCACCAATTATATGTACCTACATATAAGCTGGTTACGCAACCAAGCGAACACCATGTGAGTAAGTCTGTAAAGAGTAGCAAGGCTATTCTTTCAATACAAAATATTGGCAATAAGTCCGCTTCTCATGCATGAGTTCAAAATCTACCAACGGCAAATACCTATATGACTTTTTCCGAGTTATATGTACCTACTTTTTAAGATTATATAGACATCACTGACAAACGGTGAAGGAAAACATCGTGAAGAAAACTGGACTTAAAATTTCTAATTACAAGTAATTGAGCAAGCGTGGTGACTGGTGAATAATGCTCAAAGTTTCTCCGTGTGAGAAGAGGCCTTTGGTCAGCAGTCGCCACTTATAGGCTGTTGATATGATGATGATGATGATGTAGACATGCTGTCGGTAGCGGCGACTGGTTACGCTACCATGGTGTCCCGGTGGAATATAGCCATAAATCAGATAAAAGTAGATGAAATTGAGTTCTTTAAGATTGTAATTACATAATACATTGCACTGCACATGTGCATTGTACAATTACAATGTACATGTATGAGTGCAAATCAATATGCACTCATCGGGTACATTGTAATTAGTAACATAACATCACGCCTTTTATCTCGAAGGGGTACGCAGAGGTGCACATTACGACACTTAATGCCACTGAGCAATGTAACACACACTTCACTATTTAGAGGTATGTTATGAGTCCCATGTCATAGAGGATGAGCCTATTGCCATATAGCGAGGACTATTCCAGACACCGTGCTACTACTGAGAATTTTATTTTAAATAACCCAGTAATACTTTGCGCGACCCGGGAATCGAACCCGAGACCCCTTGCCAGGCAGTCGCACTTGCAGCCACTCGGCCAACGAGACAGTTTATATTTTAAGTAGTATCTATCTCTGTAAGTACTTTATTTCTTTCGTTTTAAAATTCGTGACACTTGTATTCATGAATGTACTATGTACCTACACATTATTTAAAATTGGAACTACTTTCAATATGGACTGTGAACTGGAACTGGCTTGGAATAATTTTTAGCATTTAAAATATTTTTTTCGTAGAGACGCATAACTATGTTTTATACATCCAGCCACGTATCTACTAACATGTTAGTAGTGCCAATGTATGAATCTATAGTTTAGTATATAAATTGACTTTAATTAGTTCAAGGTAGTTTTTTCTTATCCTATTTTTCTATACTTACATAATGATAATTTTAGTTTTTATTAACCCTTATAGACCTTATATCCGATGTTTAGAGACTACTTTTTTAATATGAACAAATTTAGGGTATGATATTAAAAAGGTTAATTGAATATGTTTAATTATGCAGCAAATTATACAGCAAAACTATGTAACTAGTAAATTGTATTGTGAACCTGATTGAAAAAAAAAGTTCTTCTCCATAGGAATCTACACCTTGGAATGAGCAAATAGCTTCACTTTTAATATTTTTTTGACGTTCAGAAGTGCCATTCTGGCCTAATTGAAATAAATGATTTTGACTTTGACTTTGACTTATGTTTTTGTATTATTTCAGAATTATTTCCTCCACACTTAATACCAGATAATGCACTACATCCTCGAAGGTCGGTGGTGCGAAGAAAAATAGTTCTTTATCATAATTTCTTCCGTACTAAAGTACGACCTAGTGCCGCTAACATGCTGCTAATGGTAAGTTCAATCTATGAGTAGAATTATTGGTAAGTTAAGCTGTAATAACAATTATAAATAGTGAAGTGAATATAGTCCTAAATTAAAGAGATAGAGAGAGCGTAAATCACATAACATAACATCACGCCTTTTATCCTAGAAGAGGTGCAGAGATTACGGTACTTAATGCCACTGTAAAATGTAACACCCACTTTTCACTATTTACGTTATGAGTCCCATTAAAACAGGAGATGATACTGTTGCGTAAGTCAGTAAGTAAAAAAGAGTCTAACGATAGATAAGTGAGTAACTATCCTACAAATGAAGTTTTATTTTTAAAATAGAAACACTGAAATAGGTGCTTTGTATATAGAATGTTATGTCACAAAATTCAATAACGTTATCATATGACTGACTTGCCAGCCGTCTTCTTATCTTATACAGGATGTATCGTATTTAGATGTCTACACTAAACTTTATAATTGATAAAATCAGTATCTAGAGGTACTTATCTAGATCATTCTAAAACTTCATCATCATTCCAAATTAGGCACCACTAAATAAAAGAAAGCCGATGCAGGAATACCAAGGTAGTCAAAAATCCTTTCAAAATAATAAAAAAATTAATAAAAAAAGGTATCAAAAACATTACCGAAAAAATGTCAATATTGTACAGCAAACAGGGAAATACAACGTTTATTACAAGTATGAAACAACCGTGTTTACAACGTCCATCCGTTTACAACGCCAAATAAACTAAGAAAGTTAAGAAACACTAACGAGTAGTTAACTAATCGACGATCTCGGCCAACTATTCGCTGATTAGTTAGTGAGATCAAAAGTTGCTGACTAATCGGCTAGTCTACTACTAGTCACATCTCTATTGCTTTTAGTTTTATTATTATAGGTATTAATTTATTTAAAAAAAGAATTATCCTGGATGGTTGGCTATTAACACCCGAAGCTAGTCGCTGTAGTATGAAATAGAATTGTTACGCAATATCTGAGAATACAGTCGACGTAGTATAGTCGATAAGTATACGGTGTACCTGCCGGCCTGCCCATTATGCTTATTTAAAGAGGTCTCCACTCAAATAGATTCATTTAACCCTCGTTTTGCTAACAGATTGGCGCTATGCATGGCGCCTCTTTGATTTCTATTTATAATGAAACAAATAACTCTGTTACAATTTGTATGTAAAATATTACGTTTTGTATAAAATTGTCAACATTTTAGGTGGAAATTTTTGTGTCGATGTTGATCGATATGTACCTATTTCATTTATTTATTGTAGACTAGCTGACCCGGCAAACTTCGTACCGCCTAAAAAATATTTTTCTCACCTTTTAAACCTTCCCTGGACTTTCACGAACATATCAAGACCGAAATTAGCCAAATCGGTTCAACCGTTCTCGAGTTTTAGCGAGACTAACGAACAACAATTCATTTTTATTTATATAGATTATTAGTATTCCTTTAAAATAGATTCAATGTACAGTTTTGACTTTTCTACAATTTTCTTATATATATAGATTGAACACTTTATGTTCAATCATACAATAGCGTTTTTAAGCCGGATGGCATTCACCACCGCATTACAAATAACCTACGGTTTTTAATCGTACGTTTTTTTTTTTTTAAGGGGGGAAAATCATCGAATGACTGCTCCCGCCTGGGTGAGGCGGGAGGGAGTGTCAGACTCTTACTGACTAAAAACCACCCCGTTCCTTTTCTACGTTAGGTTTACTTTGATCCTCGTATTCAGCAGTCGCAATGTCCTTCACATTCTGAAGGATTGAAGAAAGTTATAACTGCTCTATATTTGTTTTGTAAATCACTTCCAGACGTGGCACGCAGAAGCAGCCCGACAAGCACAGCAATACGCAGAAAAGTGCATGTTCTTAAAGCACAATGACGTCAGGGAAAACCAAGTCCCACACCTCGGTACATGCGGCCAGAATCTGTTTGTAGCCGCACAGAAAACCCCGTGGTAAGTGCTATTTGTGGTTAATTACATCTGCGGTTATCAACATTTTTTCCAACCAAATTAAATACAATTAAATTCCTAAAATCTTAAGCCGGTTTCCTGATTTTTTTCTAAAGTAAAAACTAACAAAGACCAATGTTTACATTCTTTAGAATATACTCAGGTACGTAAGTCTTTGTTTCAATATACCTACATTATGGTTACATAATATTTGTTATTTGCATTTTTAGTTCTACTTAGTTCCATTTTTATGGACCTTGTAATAATATTCAGTTTTGTTTGATCCATTATTTACAATGGCAGCTGATGAGTAGGTGTAATTTATTATATCGTGAAATTATCTACAGACTTCGAACAAGTACTTTCAGCTCCACCTGTCCTCCAGAAAATAGTACCCTTATTTACATCATACATTTCGACTTAATAAGCCGGCAAACAAGCAGACGGATCACCTGATGGTAAGCAATCGGCGTCACCCATAAACCCCCGGAACACTAGAGGCGTTACAAGTGCGTTATCGGCCTTTTAGGGATTAGGAAGTTTAGGATTGTTGAGTATTCAGGGATTGGAGAGATAAGGGTTTTTTTTTTTTTTTTTAAGGGGGGAAAATCATCGAATGACTGCCCCCGCCTGGGTGAGGCGGGAGGGAGTGTCAGACTCTTACTGACTAAAAACCACCCCGTTCCTTCTCCTGCACGTCGAGCCGGAGCCCCGGTTACCCGTTAGGTTCTCCGCGACAGAGATAAGGGTAGGGGAGAGAGGAATTGGGCTTCCAGTAACCTCACTGACACGATGAAAAACAACGCAAGTACTGTTCCACGTCGGTTTCCTGTTAGGCCGTGGTATTCCTTCGGTCGAGCCGACTCATTCATACCGAAGTATGGCTCTCCTACCCTCGAAAACTAAATTAATTATTAATGTTTTCGGCTTACTCACGTAACTTAATATGAGAGAATGACTCTAGAATGGCTTGAAACTAGTCGAGCTCCTCGTCAAATAGTTACGTGAGTAAGTCGAAAACATAATAATAATTAATAGTAGCCTTGTTACATTATAGTATTATGTAACAATGTTATACTATTCTTACACATGAATGAATGACCAGTAATAAATGACGGTGGCTCTATTGTTATAAAGACAATGTTTAATATTATGAACCGCATAACTTTTATACCATTGAAATTTTTGTCAAATGTATAAACAATTCCACGCTAGATACTTTAATATAGTAGAAAGTAAGGCTAAACGTCGAGAATACTCTCAAAAACCGAGTTAAGTATAAACTAGTTTCTGTGTATAGTGCTGAAATGCAAAATAAAGTGCTAAGGCTCTAAACTAAACAGACTAATCGCATTAACTAAAAATCGCGGGTTACTCACGTGAATATACTGAGAAAAGCTCTACTAGTTTCGAACTACATTTTCCTGAGCACAGTATATTCACGTGAGTAACTCGCGATTTTTAGTTAATTTAGTATGTCTCACGATAGTTATTAAAAAAAAAAGAGTAATCGCATTTCAACAGCAATCCAACTGCAAATTGCAATTCGGATGCAGTCTGAAAGCAGTTGATACGACGACGATAAAACTGCAATCGGACTGCTCGTTTGGTTTGCAACCGGTTGGTCATGACTGCAATAGAACTGCAATTGGACTGCACGTTTAAGGGCAGATTTTTTCAATGCCAAATAAATTTTAACTGTGGATATTTGTCAATTCTTGCATAGTAAAAACTGTCAAATGTCAATTTTATTCTACAGTTAAGAATTAACTGATGAATGAATTTGGTCAGTCTCCGCCTTGTTTTTAAGGGGGGAAAATCATCGATTGACTGCTCTCGCCTGTTCACCCCGTTTCTTCTCCTGCTCGTTGAGTCGGAGCGCCGGTAACCCGTTAGGTTCGTCAGTCTCCGTCTAGGGCGGGTCCGAAATCCTATAAATTACTACACAATTGATAAAGAGCTGGCAGCAGTACCTTTTAAAAACCAGATATTTTTAAACTGTTTTGTCGAAATCACTGGTCAAGCGTAGTGATAAAAGCAAACCCTTTTGTGTAGAGGGGAGCTGTATCCAGCAGTGTTAGGCTATTGATGGGGAGCTATAGTCTAAAGTTATAAAATGGCACCTCGTATCAACTCTGAAAGGTAGTCGTGTCCCTGGTATCAAAATATAATGAGAAGGAATGAAAATCATGCGAGTAAGCGAGTGCTACATGGAAAAATGGTAAAAAAGAAAACGATTAAAGAAAATCGGTATGATTAGATCGTTTGAGGAATGATGTCATATGACAAAGAAGATTTTTAAAGGATGACTTCTGAGATTAAAAAGATTATTATCAGCTAACTTTAAATAACTCGGGATGTGGGCAGAAAGACTTCTTCATCTAGAAAAGCTCTGGATCAAGGCGTTTAATAGTAAAATATCAGTGATCGCTTTTTAAACTGTCAAACACCAAGCGGTCACCGGTGACTGCAACCAATTGTTCTATAATTGTGTCTACAAAACCGGTACTCGACGAGTTAATTACGGTGGTTATTCTACACTAAACACCGTTTACAAATACATGCATACATAACCTCATGTCCATCTTCCATGGGAATACGGAACGACTATGGAACGCCAATTGCTACGACTCTTACTTACCTCGCCTGTTTTACCTCTTTCTTTTGCAAACCTTGCAACCATCCATCAGTCGGATTCAATCCACGTGCTTGTGCTTACTAAAACGTGAACCACGCATTATCTATAATGTTAGTAATTACCGAGGAGCTAAGCTTTGATTCAATTAGTTTCGCTCACATTACACTAATTAATTTTACGTATTATAAAGTAGTAAATAATTTTACGTCAATTCCTTCTTTATCCAAAAATCAATTCGTAAAGTATTTCAGAATTCTTAATGATACTATTTTCTGAATTCCTATAGTATCTGGAATGTAATAAAAACAAAAAATAACCAGTGAAAGTGTAAAGTAAATAAGTAAGTGCACTTTTGCCTATTCTTTCTATTCAGACATTAGTTAAACTATTCAGAACAAGCCAATTTACCTTTTTTTTTTTGTATATTCCAAGGACTTTTCTACTCGTGTTTCTACACAACATATTACCTACGTAGGTACTGTAAATAAGATAAATTACACCAGTTTTTTTATTTGTTTTAAATAAAAAATCTTTGATTTCCTAGTGCAGCCTCATCACGATTGTCTTTGTACCTCCTGTGCCATAATAGCTAATTCGTGAACCAATGATTACACATAATTATTGTAGGTTGTAGGATTGCCCTTTACAACTGCTACTTATGTATGTACAATGTACATGTACAATCAGTCAAGATACTTGTTATATGGGTTTGATTCAGTACAGTAACTATTCACATGGAAAAGGATATCATTTTTACTGTCTATGTACCAAATCAATATTTTAAAGTAGTTTGACTGCTAATGGCATCCTGACGTGTCTATGTAGATTATAAGGTAGGTACCTAATAAATATGTACTATACTAATGATCAAGTGAAAAATAGTGTTATTAGAGAAAAGTGTGATTAAAAGATGATGTAGTGGCAAGGATTGAAAAGGAAATTTAACGCTGGTTTGGACATGTAGAAAGGATGGATGAAAGTAGAGTAACGAAAGAAGTATACGGAGCGGATGTGAAGGGGCCTTCGGTAGAGGGCGCCCTAGATGGACATATAGTGACCAGATTGGCGATATATTAAAGAAGGGCCAAATTAAAAGTACCTTTAACCGACAAGCATGCATGAAAAGATAGATGACTGTTGATGAAGCGAAAGAGGTAGGTATGTAGGAATCGTAGTAATTGGCGTTCCCTAGTCTCTGCCTACCCCCATGGGAGACAGATGTGAAGTTATGTTTGTATGTATGTATGTACTATGCTAATTAATATGAAAAAGTCGTACTTGTCCTATTATTAGACTAATCGTGAGATAGACTTCAACTTCGAAGACGTGATTACGATCCGTTCATGTAAGTATGTAATTATAGGCAACTAGCGCATGAAGCTACCCTAAACTGTGAAAATACTTTACAAAAGATTTTCGACTTTATATAAAACGAATATGGTTAAAAATGTAATGAAGAATTCTGACTGATTGGGGTATTTAGATGTGCTGGCGTATGTTTCTAGTTTTATTTTTATTAGGAGATTCTTATGTAAATAATGAACACGACTAGACGACGTAATATATGGAGGACGTGATTCAAATTAACGAGCCACTAACTAATGTACAAAAAATATAGTAAAAACTGTATTTATTTACCGTCACTTTATTTTAAAGCTAACTTAGAGTTAAGTATGTTTTTATGAGTTAAAACTAAAATATGTCTAAATGGTCCGCTTATTCTGATAATATCTAAATAAGTGAAGAGCATAGGATTACGTTATTAAAAGATATAATAATAACATATATGATTGTTTGACTGCACGGTTGGTGCGGTGCCTGGGGAACCGGCTGCCGTGCAACGTGTTCCGGGTTCGATTCCCGTACGAATCAACACTTTGAGTGATCCACATATAGTTGTTTCGGGTCTGGGTGTCATTGTGTATGTGAACTTGTATGTTTGTAAACAAATCCACGACACATTAGAAAAATCTTAGTATGGGGCAACGTTGTTCATAAAAAAAATAACATCTATCTATCGCGTCTTTCAGCTCCGCAGGGGTAGGCAGAGGTGCACTTTAATGCCAGTGTAGATACAATGTAACACCCACTTTTCACTATTTATGTTATGAATACCATGTATGTAATAGGGGGTGGGCCTATACCGATCACATTTCCAGACTCCGTGCTACTACTGAGAATTTATTTAAAAACGCAGTAGTACTTTACCCGACCCGGGAATTGAGTTCGAAACCCCTTGCCCGGCAGTCGCACTTGCGACCGTTTGGCCAACGAATCAGTCAATAAAAGATATAATTTTGATTATATCTAATTCTGTTATAAAATTATTATCTATCAAATTTATTGTAATTACATACACAAAGTATCTACATAATTATAACGAACGATTAAATATCGACGTTTTACCTAAACGAAACCTATTATTAGTAACATATAATTTTAAACTGTCAAACACCAAGCGGTCACCGGTGACCGCAACCTATTGTTCTATAATTGTGTCTACAAAACCGGTACTCGACGAGTTAAGAGATGAATAGATCCAATAGGCTACACAATTTTAATAAGTGGATGCTTGATCAGTAGTTAAAAATAAAACTGGCTAATTTAATTTTCTAACACTAGATCCTACGATTATTATGTTGCTAACAATATTGGATTTATGTGATAATAAATGACTGCCTCGTTGGCCGAGTGGTCGCAAGTGCGACTGCCGGGAGTGAATTTACTTTTCGATATGTCTAAATCCATACGAAAAGGTACACACAGCAGATTATTTTAAAGACGGTTTCCTAGCAGAAGTAGTTGTTGTTACATTAACCAATCATGACATAAAATATATTTTTTACCGGCGTAAACGAGCAGACGGATCACCTGATGGTAAGCAATCGGCGTCGCCCATGGACACCTGGAACACCAGAGGCGTTACAAGTGCGTTACTGGCTTTTTGGGGATTAGGAGTTTGAGGATCGTTGGGGATTCAGGGATTGGGGAGATTGGGGAAGGGGAGGGTAATTGGGCCTCCGGTAACCTCACTCACACGACGATTCATAACGCAAGCGTTGCTTCACGTCGGTTTTCTGTGAGGCCGTGGTATCACTCCGGTGGAGCCGGCCCATTCGTGCCGAAACATGGCTCTCCCACACTTAAATTATATATAAAAAAATATTTAAGATTACAACCCGATTAATAATTGTTAATTTAATTACAGGTTCTTCGCAATTAAGACATGGTATCTGGAATACCAGAATTTCACATATGGGAATCCTGTATATAACCTGAAGACTATTGGCCATTACACGCAAATGGTGTGGGCTACCAGCCATAAGGTGGGCTGTGGTGTGGCCCATTGCAGAGGTGGACCATGGGGACAGTTCTATAACTACGTGTGCCATTACTGTCCTGGGTAAGTGGAGTTACAACCTGTTTATTTGAATAAAAGTCTGGAATGTTCTACACGGAAAAGAAAAGGCCATTTGGCATGTAATTTCTTTTGTTGTTTTGATATGAGGTACAGGCATAGGTACTCTTTCCAATATGATATTTGATGTAGGTACTATGTTATGCTATGTTTTTTTTTAAATTAGTGCTCAATTATCCTTGAAGGAGTAGGTACTCCCACTAAAATGTAATGTAGCACCACTTTTTTCAAGTTTATTATAGACAGGCATTATTATAGGTAGTAAAGGATATTTTGTTAACCCCAAGAACAATATTTTAAACAGAGTCATTTTCTTTGCTGCTCTAGAACTTCTAGTCACTCGACCAGCCTTTGTAGAAAAAAATTCAGCAGTAACTGGTTATATAATACATAACAAGATAATATAACATTACGCCTTTAATCGCCGAAGGGGTAGGCGAGGTGCACATTATGCCCCTGTAAAACCCACTTTTCACGATTTGTGTTATGAGTCCCATGTAACAGGGGGTGAGTCTATTGCCATATACCGGGCACAATTCCAGACTCCGTACTACTACTGAGATTCGTTAAAAACCCTAAAATACTTTTCCCGACCCGGGAATCGAACCCTGTGTGAAGTGAAGTGAAGTGCTTATGTAATACATATATGTGATTATGTAATACATATTCTGTGGCCGTCACAAATCGTAGATATTTCTTCCTTTTGGTGCCATTGTGTATTATCCACTGCAAGAAAATATGCGTAATGTATTACCTCAGCGTTGTCTACTCCATTACATTCCTCTTCCTTGTATCGTCGTTTGTTATCCATTGTATTATTGATTATTCTATTAAACAATTATATATTACCACCCCGTAAACTTCGTACCACTTCAAACATGTTTTACTCGCCGTTTAAACCTCCCCTGTACTTCCACGAGCATTTCAAAGCCAAAATTAACCCAATCGGTTCAGTCGTTTTCGAGTTTTAGCGAGACTAAAGTAGCAGAAATTCATTTTTTTTATATTATAGAAGATTTATTTATGACAAAAGTCCACTATTTTGTTGAACAAATATAATAATGATGATCGCAGATTTTTTAATCTTTGTTTTACACCGGCTGCGTCATTGGCCGAGTGGTCACGAGTGCGACTATCGGGCAAGGGGTCTCGGGTTCCATTCCCGGGTCGGGCAAAGTATTACTGGGTTTTTAAAAATTCTCAGTAGTAGCACGGAGTCTGGAAATGTGCCCGGTATATGGCAATAGGCTCACCCCCTATTACATGGGACTCATAACATAAATAGTGAAAAGTGGGTGTTACATTGTACAGTGGCATAATGTGCACCTCTGCCTACCCCTTCGGGGATAAAAGGCGTGATGTTATGTTATGTTATGTTATGTTAT